CATATATACATCATATTTTACTTATTTTTTATACATCATATTTTATGATTAAACCAATTTAACTAACATTTAGATTCGTTCTGCTTATGTTGGAGAATTTCTTCTCTACTGGCAATCCCCCAATGACATCATCTTGGATGTTTACACATGTCCTGTTTTCTGGCATGCTCTTCTCACCTTGCAAAGTTTGGCAAACTCCTGCTCCTTCAAAAGTCAGCATGAGGCCTCGCCCAAGTGGAGACTTCCTGATTCTCCCTGGTGTTTGAGCAGGTCCCCTCTCTGAGACTCAACTGCCCTCAGTGAGATGCACCATCATGACTTATTTGTATGCTACCATCTGTCTCTCACAGATTGGGAGTTTCCACAAGACAGGGGGCTATCTACAATCGCAGGGTTTCCTGTGTTTGTCTTATGGCCAGTTTAATGAGGGAAAGAAAAAGTATGACCAAGTCAGACATCAGATGCAATCTAGAGGCAGAGTACTGAAGCATGGTGAGAAATAACCAGGAGGAATTTCTGAGTCAGCCAGCAAGAGAGGACCTTTGCTGAAGGAGCCAGGCAGTGGGTGAGAGGAGGGTGTGTGTGTGGCAGTCTCCCATGGAGATTAAGACAGTATGTGAAGACACATGCTACACGTTCTTTAGTAACTGTGAGGCCCTGACTAAAGACAAATCTGGCAGGACTTGGTGGATGTGATGGTGGGAAATGGCTCCCCGCAGGAGGCAGTCACAGGGTCACTAAGGCTGAGTCTTACCTGAGAGGATGAAGGTGCCACTGTCCTTGCCCACTGCTTTCCACTGGGGGCTGGGGACCGTCTGCTTCTTGGAGTGTTCAGAGGCTGAGGACTCGTAAGGTACGTACAGGATAAAGTTGAGCAGGCGCAGCTGGCGCACTTCCCAGTCCTGCTGCAGCTGTTGTAGGCTCTCTTGGGCACGCGTTCGTTCATTGTCACACTGCCAGACCTAGAACAGGTGGGCCTCAGGAGCCAGAACTGGCTAATGGCTCAGGGAAGTGTGGGACCATCAGACTTCAAAGATGGGCTATCAGCAGCATCTAACTACGTTAAACCCACCCTTTCAGAAGGCTCCTGTGAGCGTGTCACTTCATGCTGTCTTGGGTCAGAGTAAATATTGGGGGACATCTGCCATTCTGTGTGCCAAACACTTTGAGCAGGACATCTACTTCCTTTTCCCAGGGGAGCTGTTAGTCGCATAGTCTGAAACCACCCATCAGATCTTCATCCGAACACTTAAGGAGACTACTCCTACTCTCCAGCGTGGTCAGCAATCGAACCCCCAACCTCCACTCACCCACATGGCAACATTCACCGGCCCTGTATCTCAAGGGCCTTGGCCTTGACGGCCTCTGGGCTTGGACCACCTCCTGTCTCCTGTGGGCCCCACCTGATTGATTCGATCTGCAAACTCCAGCAATGGACAAGTGAGCAGCTGACCCAGTGTCAGGAGTTCCATACTTTGGAGATTGCTTAGCCCTAAGGCTGAAGGTAGAAGAGACAGATCAGAATAACACACAGTGCATGCCAGAAGCTAGCCCACGTCTAAACCCAGGCCGCAGATTCAGGACCCAGAGCCTAGCCCAGCCCAGCTCAGACACTGGACTGCAGATCTCACAGCACACTCAGGAGCCAGAGCAAAGAGCCCAAGCCGAGCCTAGGCCCTGTCCACAAAGAAGACCCTACATGGTAATCAGGGAAAACAGAATTTCTTTTCCCCTTGGGCGTGGGGCGGTGTGTGAGCTGGTGGTTATGGTATGTGAGAAAGCGTAGGCAGCAACCTAGAGGGGAAAAGCATTTCCAGCAAGAGCAGCAGGGAACTCCGTTGTTGAGCTGCTCTAAACCCTTACTCATCCTTTCCTCCTCCCCTCTGACTCTAATCGAACCCACCCCTCATGAGGGATTGATAGTTAAGGTTCTGCCTCTGGGAGCTGCCCAGCTTGGTGAGCAAGGGCAGGTAGCCTCGGAACTCTTCCAGCATGCGCATGCAGCGTTGCAGCACGGGGCTGTGCACCCCTAGAGTTGTGCTCATCCGCGCCGCCTCTGTCAGCCAGCCATCTGTCTTCTCCTGGGCCACAGACAGGCTGAACTGCAGGAGAAGGGCTCACTGTCAGCTCGAGAGGTCTCTCCCCATCCTCCTCAACGCTCCCCGCAGGAAGGAGCTCCGAGGAGGAGCATCAGTACCTTGACAAACGCGATGCACTTCCATTCGCTGAACGTTTCAGAGATGGTTCGGTACAGGTGCCAGATGTGTTGCTGCAGCACGATAGGACGGGTCCCACAGACTGGCAGGGGCACGGGGCTCTCATCTCCTGCGGTACAGGGCTGGCTAAGACCTGGGCTTCTCAGAGAACGGTCAATCAAGAGCCCATAATGACGGAAGAGAGATTCCAGCGGGTGGGTGGGTGTAAACTGTTCAGTTCAACAGGAACTTTCCAGTTATTGGGACAGGAACTTTCAGTTCAGTTCAGTTCAGTTCAACAGGAACTTTCAAGTTATTTACTCAGAAAAGAAGTTATTTACAGAAAAAAAGTTATTTACTCCAGAAAGAATGTCTGGGAAAACAGGATGGCGGTGGAATGGAAGGGTTCCCTGTCTATTAAGCTCCACTTCACTCAATGCAGCCATGCTGGGCTCTACTGCTGCTCAGGCACTGCACTAGGCATGGTCCTTCCTGCTAAGGGCCTTTTTTGACTTGCAGTTCATTCTTTCTGGAACATACTTTCCTCAGAGAATCACATGATTCCAGCCGTCATGATTCCAAGCCCTTATTCAAACAGTACCATCTTAATAAAGCCTACGCAAACCAGGAATGGTGGCGCGTGCTTGTATTCCCAGCACTCGGGAGACCGAGGCAGGGGGATTACCATGAGTTTGAGGTCAGCCTGGGCTACTTAAGTGAGTTCAAGACTCAGCCTGGACTACACAGAGAGAGCTTGTCTCAACAAACAAACAAACAAACAAACACCTCTTTCAATAAGGCCTATGCAGACTATCACATTAAAAATTGTTATAGTCCTTCCCTGTGGTTCTCAATCCCTCTTATCCTGCTGCACTTTTTCTCTAGAACACTTATACTTTCCAGTACACTGCCCTACGTAGTGTAGTTGCATGTTATGTTCAGTAGTTGCTGCTTTTCCCCCGCAGCTAGAATGTCGGGGCAGCTGGGTAGCAGCTTCGTCCTGTACTCACTGAGACACCTCAAGCCTGGTACATAGGAGGCACCCAACAGTTATGTGGTGAATGAATGAATAAGCGAATGAATTCTCAGGCAAGAGAATTTCAGGGAAAAAAGAGTATTTCCGGGACATAAATATGAAAACATATCTGGCCCTCACCGGGGTAAAAGTAAAGTTCCCCGTTGTGTTTGTATTGCCAGTTCTTTACTCTCTTCATAAGCTACTGCATTAGGTCTTAACAATTTGCTTCTCATCAGGTGTGAGATATATGCCAAAAGTAACCTGTAATTAGTAAAAGTTATAGAACTGATATTTATGATGTACTTAAAGACACGAGCTCACAGCCAGGGTCATTGCTACAAGACTGTTGTTCTCATTCACTTGAATTCCTGTTTTGTTCCTGAGGGGGCAGGAAAGAGAGTCACACCCACCTGTGGGAAAGGATGCATTTGACATGTGTGGACATCATTCATCATGAAGAGCTCAGTATACGAAAACACCTAGGATCACTTATCAGATCTCCAATTTGACAAAAATAAAACCTGAACTCTTTCAATCTCTCTGTCTGAATTCAAAAATTTGGGCCAGAGACTCACTGAATCTTTTTTTCCTTTATTATGGGTGTGTGTGTAGGAGGGTGTTTGAACCTTGGTGCACTCCATCACTGAGCGACATCCCCAGCCTTTTTTATTCCTTAGTTTGAGACAAGGTTTCACTAGGTTGCCAAAGCTGGCCACATACTTGCAACCTGCCTGCCTGAGTAGCTAGGGATTACAAGCGTGCCCTACCATAGCCAGGGACCCACAGAATCTTTGATAGGAATTGCCTCAGCATTAAATATTGGCAAATAACTTCCTCCATAAGGAAGGGCAGATGCAATAGCTCCAAACACATGCAGAGATGAAAACAAATTTGAGGATTAAGAGTAAATGCCCTAGCCAGGTGTGGTGGTGCATGCCTGTAATCCCAGCAGGTGGAAGGCTGAGGCAGGAGAACTGCAGTGAGTTTGAGGCCCAGCCTAAACTACATAGTGAGATCCTATCCCCTACCTCCCCTAAAAAAAGAGTAAATGCCCTCGCCAGGCGTGGGAGTGCACACCTATAATCCCAGCTACTTGGAAGAATCAGGAAGGAGAATCAAACGTTTTAGGCCTGGGGCAATTTAGCAAAACCCTATCTCAAAATAAAATAAAAAGGATTGGGGATATAGCTCAGTGTTCCCTCAACTGACTCCCCAGTAATGCTAAAAAGAAAGAAATGTTATTCTATGGCTATTTTTTGTGGTATCTTCTCAACAATTTTCATTCTATTTCACAACATTTTATCTGGAAGTGATTTCAAAATGCTTAAAGTGGCAAGGAAAATGAATACCTCTAACTACTGTCTTACTTACTAATCCCGTATATCTCTTATCTAGATTTTCCTTTTATTAGAACATTTCAACCATTTGCTTTATTGGTTGTGTTTGCATGGTCTTTGTGCATATAGGCATGTAAAACACATAAACATAATTTTTCTTAATTATTTCAGGGTAAATTACACAGATGATAGATAGTCCTTCCCAAAAATATTCAAGTACATGCTTCCTAAGAATAGGGAGATTTGGGCTGGGGATGTAGCTCAGCGGCACAGTGCCTGCCTGAGTTCAGTTTCCAGAACCAAAAAAAAGAATACGGAAGTTCTCTTCCATAAGCACTGTGCAATTATCAAATTATTATATCACATTGTTACAATATTTTCTACTGCCCATATTTCAGCAAATACACAAAAAGTGTTCAACATTGTTGGCCATTAGAGAAATGTAATTTAAAACATTGAGATTCCATCTTACCCCAGAATGAATGGCTATCATCAAGAAATTAAATGAGAGCTGGGTGTGGTGGTGTACGCTTGTAACTCCAGCACTCAGGAGGCTGAGGCAGAAGGATCACTGCAAGTTCAAGACCAGCCTGGGCTACAAGTTGAGCTCAAGGCTAGCCTGAACTGCACAGTGAGACCCTGTCTCAAAAAAGACAGACCAAAAAAAATTAGAAATCAAATGATAACAAATGTTGGAGAGGCTGTGGCAAAAGGAACACTTTTACATTGTTGGTGGGAATGTGAACTAGTACAACCACTATTGAAATAAGCATGGAAATTCCTCAAAAAACTAAAAAAGAGAAATTTCCTTCAGCTCAGCTACTACCCTTCAATGTATTTTCCCAAAGGTTAAAGGCACCATATTACAGTGATACATGCACACCCATGAATGCAGCAGCACAACTCATAGTAGCTGAATAGCTCCATCAACAAATGAAGGAATGGGGGCTGGGGATTTAGCTCAGCGGCAAAGCGCCTGCCTCGCAAGCTCAAGGTCGTGAGTTCAGTTCCTGGTACCGGAGAAAGACCAAAAAAAAAACCAAACAAACAAACAAACAAAAAAAACAAATGAAGGGATGATGAAGATATGGTATTTATACACAACGGAGTCCTACCCTGCTGTAAAGAAGAATAAATGAGTCATGTGTGGGAAAATGGATGCACCTTGAGACCATAATGCCAAGTGAAATAAATCAGACACACAGATTTAAGTATCACATGGTTTCTTATACGAGAAACCCAAAATATAAAGAACAAAATAAAAGATAGGAGGAAAGAGGAAGATAAATCTCTCACAAATGGGAGGGGAACCAGAAGATGGAGGGAAGGGGAGAGGGGTGAGGAGATGAAGAAAGGAATGGAGATGTGTTAGGTACACGTGCCACCTCCTCGTGGGCAGTGTGACCGCTAGGTACTGTGAGCGCGCACTAATAAGAAATAAAACAAAAAGATAATAGAGCCCTTCGTAGCACTGCTTCCCCTCAAGCACAGCAGCTGATCTAGGGTCAAGTACTCCGCTTCCTTGTCACGTCTTTTATGGTTCTTTTAATCTAGGCTATTCCTCCTACAGCTTTTCTTTGCCTGAAATTGCAGACATTTCAAAGTACTCTCTACAAAACCTGTTTCCTCCGCCTTGTTAACAGAAAGTTGCTCAGGTTCCGTTCCTCTGATTTTGTTTGTGATGTCATTCCCTGCCTCAGTGGATCACGCACAGGTGGTGTCTGTCCTTCGGGCATCACGTCGAGAGGCACGTCGTTACCCAGTTCCTCCACTAATTGCTGTTTCTTTTTCTTCCTTGTAGCTAATAAGTACAACTAATAAGTAGCCTCTGGGGGCGACCGTCTAAAATAGTGTAAGTATTTTGCTCTTCGCCAGGTTTGCCCGGGGTTGGCATCCACTGCCACCCACCCGATGCAGTGTTTACTCTGATGGTTGCAAAATGACGTTCCCACTCTCTGCCATCTCCACATCGTGGTCTCTGGTCGGATCCTGGCACTCTATGTAAAGATGAATCTATACTTCTTCCTCATTGATTTATCTGTTTATTATTATTTTTATTAATAAATTCCTGGTTTTTCAGCAGTTTAGAATTAATTACCATATTACTGTACTTTCGTTCTCAAATTGCTCCGGCTTTGGCAAGTTGGCATCCGTGAGGCATCCTTGTGATGTTCCCATCACTTTTCCCCTTTTAATTTAACACTTCCTTACGTTGTGGTATAAAATCTTACTCCACACTCACAGGCACCTACCCTGCCACAGCCCCAGACACCCATTTCTCTGAGGACCCCTGGTTTGTTATAGTGGAGAATGGGATTAGAAACTAAAATCTGAGAACAAGATGGCTTCTTGTCACTGGGTGTCTTTGTTTCTTGTCCACATCAGCAAACAGAACTAGGAAATATGTGCACATATATAAACATATAAACACACACTGCCACGCATATACATGTGTGCATATGCATGCATACAAACACATAGAACATGTGGGTGTGCTCTAAAATACAGTGGAAATATAGAGTAGACACTACATGAAATGCAAGCTTATATGACAAGCTCATAACTTGCTTCTACAACTCAGAGGAAAGGAATAAAAGAATGAGTGATGGAGAAAATTAAAAAATGAAGGTGAGGCCAGTAAATCCAATATACACATAAGAATTCTAGACAGAGCCCAGAGCACAAATCAGTGATTATCAAATAACTGATAAACAGATTCCACACAAAAGAAAAAAGTTGGATTAGATCAGATTTGCCTAAAATGCTCAATATTACAAGATAATAATGCAATATCTAAATTTGAAGGAAAATAATCTGTGACTTCAAAACAATGCCTTTCCGGGGGATATAAGTGACTCAGTGTAAGAAAAGAAACCCCAGCCCACAGACTTCTGCCTGCTTGGTGTGCAGAAGGGAAGCAGCAGAGCTGTGTTGCTGCCGGAAGGGCGGAGCTCAGGAGTGTCCTGGTCTCCCCTGCAGCTCTGAGGCTTTCGGCAGCCTATCCTCTAAACCACACTGGCTGGAGGCAGAGGCTCCTGTGATATCAAGACCTGGTCTTATCTGTGGCACACTGATGCACTGGGATAGGGCTATGCTGGACACAAAGACCAAGTTCTACAGTGACAGCACACCTTTTTCCTGCATGGGATTTTACTCCCTGACCTCATCACATTCTAATGAAATATTTGGCTATTTGCCTTCCCTACTAGGCTGTAAGCCTCCGAAATGCACAATCTGAATTATCAAATATATAAAGGTTTCTTCTTTCAATATTTGCTTATTAAAGAGATCAACAAAACATGCCTATAATTCCAGTACTCTGGGAGGCTGAGACAGGAGGATCACAATTTACAGCCTAGCCTGGCAACTTAGCGATTTAGCAACACCCGGCCTCAAAATTAAAATGAGAAATAAAATAAAGGGCTAGGGCTGTAGCCCAGTGCTAAGGACCTGGGTTCAATCCTCAGCACTGCAAAATAAATAAATAAATACATAAATAAATAAAACAAAATAAAAATAAAATTAACAAAATAAAACAAAATAAAACAAACAAACAAACAATATTTTAAAGAGAGACCAAGAAAGGTATGTGATTCCTGAGGCTTGCTCAGGATCACACAGGACATAGGACCCCAGCCCTCATCTCAGGGTGATGGTGGAAGGGGTGGGGACTCTCAGTACCCGTAAAGGTGACGTAGGCATGGTGTAGTTCACCGAGGTGCCTGGCTGTGTTCTCGAACTGATGCTCCATGGAGATGAGCTTGCTCTCGGTGCTCTTCTGCTCTTGCGTGGGGTCCATGAAGGGACCAGACAGGGCCTTCTTAAGCAGGCCTTCCAGCTCGGCCAGTGCTGCTGCCATCAGCTGCTGCAGCTTGGGCACGATGGCATACTGCTTGCTGAGCAGATACTCGGAGGCCTGCGTTTTCTCAAACTGAAATGCCTCCCACATATCCAGAAGCTGTGGGACAAGCAGAGGGCAGTGGAGTAGACGTGGTTATAGAGGAAGCGGTCCAGGAGGTGGGTGACTCCCTAAATCACCCCCTCACCGAGTTATCCAGTGCCTCATTCTCAGCACTGAAGATGTTAAAGTAGTTGCGGATGAACTCATGGAGGGACCGGATGTATTCTATTCGCTCCTCCAGCTGAATGAACTCCTCGTTGGCTTCATTCACCTGCAAGGATGACCGCATGAGGCCAGACCCACCAAGACCCTGTGCACCTGCACGGGCCCATCCTCAGGGGCCGTTCCGCCTTCCGGACTCAGCTGCAGCTTTTTAACTCATTGAGCTCAGGGCAATCTGGGATCAGATCCCTTTCTGATGCAGGTCTCTGAAGGAAACTAGTTCTCAGCCACCGGACCTGATGACAGGGCAACATCGCCTTATCCGACCATCACAGACAGCAGAACCCACATCCCTGAAAGTAAGACTGTTTCTTTCATCATGCCAGGGTCTCCCCCTGACACGAGGAAACCAATGGCCGTGTGAAAAGAGCAAGAATTCGTGACGGCAGATCACTCACGTCAACATATTTTAAGAGCACCCTTTGGGAACTCAGTGGAGACCGGAAGAGAGTGTGCTGAGCCTCTGAGCAGGATGGGCCCTGGACAAACTGGGAAGGACGGATGGGGAGAACCCACCTTCTGGGAGCACAGTGCAATGGAATGAATGTCCGTACTGATGGTTTGGAAGACCTGTATGAAACCCGTGAGCTCTGTCATTAGTTGCTGACTGCGGCTCCAGCATTCATTCTGCACCTGTGTAAGAATATCCTCCTTCATGCTGTCCAGCTTGGACTCTGGAAACAAGACAGCCGCATGTTAGGCGGTACATGAAAAAGAAGGGGGTGCTAGAAGTACAGCAGGCCCAGAGCGGGAGTGGGCTGAAGGGGAGGCCAGACAATGAACACATTTCCTCCCTCCTGGAATGCTTGCCGCATCCCTGCTCTGTGTCCAGCCAGCTGCTATGCACTGGGGTCTGTGTGCTGCACCAGGAGGCGCAACAGAAAGTTCCTCACAACGTGATAGCAGAGGCAGATACACAGATGGACTATCACAAGTGGGTACTCATGGTGTGATGAGTCTTCTGTCAGTGCCCGGGCCCTCAGGCAGGCACGGTGCAGGGACCTGGGGCTGGAGAAGGCTTGAAAGGCTTCCTCAGAGAGGTCACTGGAGGTGGATGTGTGGAGTAGTTTTCATGAAACAGCTGTGCAAGGGCATGGAAAGCACTCAGTCATGAGTAGCAGAGGCCCTGTCAGTGTTCTCCTGCTGGGGTCTTACTGTCTCTGCTCTAGTAGAAGAGGTACTAAGAAAACAATATAATCGGTCTTGCTTTTAAGAATTAAAAGAGAGGCTCACGAGGATATGGAGTTAGAAGATAATTTTAGAGGCTGCCCTAGGTTATATGAACAACTGCATTTTCTCCAAAGGCAAGAAAAATACCCATATGATACTTCATCAAATCCAAGATATCAGCAATTTTAAAAGGCGTCATCATTCTATATATTACTAAAAGGGAAAAAATGATCTAAACTCTGACATGCCATCAACCATAAGAACTGAACTTCTTAAATTCAGAGATGTTAAAATATGAACAGAACAGCAAAATATAATATAGAAATATGGTAAACCCCCAAATTCAGTAGAGAATTAGACATTATTCCATTCATTTTACCTATATTAAACCATTTGATCTTCAAAAAATTCCGTTTGAGTTAAATATTATTTTTTTCCCTTATTTTACAAATAAACAAACTGAGACTCAGAGAAATTAAGTAAGTTAATTAGCATTATACAATGGTAGAACAAGGATTCAAACTCTGGCAGCCTGGCTTAACTCGTTATAAATACAAACACAAACATATAAATATAATCATAAACATATATAATATGTAAACAGGAGGACTGCCACAAATTCCAGGCCAACTTGGGCTACATAGTGAGTTCAAGGCCAGTTTGAACTACAGAGCAAGACCCTGTCTCAAAAAAAAACCCTAAATAAATAAATAAATAGGCCTGGTGTGGTGGTGCACACCTGTAATCCCAGCACTTGGGAGGCTGAGGTAGGAGGATCATTACAAGTTTGAGGCCATCCTGAGCTACATAGTTGAGTTCAAAGCCAGCCTACACTACAAATAAGACCCTGTCTCAAAAATAACAACAACAACAACAATAAAACAATAAAACAAACAAACCACTCTAAAATAACTAACATAGCGGGGCTTGGTACTCCTGTAATTCCAGCCCTGGGAAGCTGAGGCAGGAGGATCATTGGGAGTTCAAAAACAGCCTGGACTACAAAGTGAGCTCAAGGCCAGGCTGAACTGCATAGTGAGACCCTGTCTCAAAAAAGACAAAAACAAACAAAGATAATTATAATAACTAAAATAAATTGCTTTTATTATGTGAAAAGCAAGCCAGACTATCTCCTATTAGTATCTCTGCAACTGGAAAGTGGCACAGTGAATTCAAAGGGGAGGGAACTGAGACATCAGTGGGTCTGGCACTACCAGAGCCTTGGAGAAATTAACCAAGAGAATCGGCCACCAAGGGTTAAAGCTGACAAAATCTCCAGAGGGGGCACCTGTAAGGAGTACCACATGTTGGAGCAGAACATGAGGACGTAAACTTGTGATATTTCGTTGTTGGTTTTTTTTTGTTGTTTTTTTTTTGTTTGTTTTTGTTTTTCTCCGGTACCGGGAACTGAACTCATGACCTTGCACATGCCAGGCAGGCGCTTTTGCCGCTGTGCTAAATCCCCAGCCCCAACTTGTGATATTTCAAGACGTCCCTCTGGCCACTGCAGGGGTGCCATTTGGACTTCAGTAAGTCCCTGATTTACAAACATCTGAGTTGCAAACTCTCACAGATACAAAGGGACCTTGAATTATGTAGATGCGAGCGGAAGTAGCTCACATTCTGCCGGATACTGCCGCAGTTGCGCTGCTGTGTGCCTATGTACAGTGTAACAGCGCGCAGTAGTGCGGTGCTCCAGTCGGCGCCCAGGGTGTCCGGAAGCAAGAGGAAAACCAGGCTGATGGCGGAGGGGGGGTGGGGGGTTGGTATTTTTATGCTTTACCTTGTATATCTGTATCAAAGGTGTATAAAACTCACTTTGTTATAGCTAAGATAATTGTACTACTAATTTCTATTGGTTTATTGAAAGGAACAGTTAATGCTTAAATTTTTTTTCATCAATTTTACATGCCTATATTTGGTAATCTGAGTAACCACTTTGAAAATCACAATATGCAATATAACTGCCATTGTTGATTTCCTATCATCTTGTTTTGAAATTCTGTATCGTTTTTTAATGTTTTAAAAAATTGTTTATTCTCTTAAAAAAAAAAAAAAACCACTTGGTTGGAATCTGACTCCTTCAAGTCAAGGGACTTACTGCGGTAGCATCAGGCAGGCTGAGGCAACTAGGAGTGCAACAGCGACACCACATGGTATAAAGGAGCAATGGCTGGATAAACTATCCGCTCCTCGGGATTGAGACAAAACATTTGAGAGATATTTAGGAGGCACAAGAAGGAAAGGATTTGGTTGAAAGGTGGAGAACTGATGGAGACCACTACGAAGCAGACCTGAGCAAGACTTAAATTAATCAATTGGCTTTTCATGTTCACTTGTGAATCTGTCCAAGGCCTAGGTTTCTCATCTGGCAATGGCAGACTCATAGTAAGTGAACCTCTGTGAGTCACTAATCCCTACTAGAACCTGTAGTGGTGGATGAAGCCAGAAAGCCTCAAAGGATAAGACAAGATCACAGCCAAGGACGCTTGTTTCAGATCTCAACTAGATAAAGACTACAGTCTCAGGCATCTCATTCTTCAGTGGATTAATTTAATATCTTACTTAGAGAAGCCCTTGAGTGGTTCTGCCCTTCCTGAGTACTCCCCTCCCTTCTTCTGATAACCAAATAAATACGGGTGACTCAGAGAAGGTTGTGGTCTTAGCCCTGAGAGAATCTTGAGTTCTGTGAGAGGGCTTTGATCCTCCTGGAGCCCTGAAATCATGCCCTTTGCCTCTTTTTATTTAGCCTTCACCATACACTCATTCAGGAGATTGTGGACCTGATTGTAGCCCACAATAACTAAGGGATATTATTAACCCCATAGGGAATAGTGGAATTAAAAAGAGAGGAGAAAAGGATGACTCCTAGTTTCTGGTGAGGCCAGTTTACTAGAGTGGATAGGTAGGCTGCTCACCATTCAAGGCAGCCCTTGAAGGAGGGGGACAGTCAGAGGACAAGAAGATAAAATATGACCAGCAAGAAGGGGGAAAGTAGATGGGAGAGAATAAAGTGAACTGCTAAAAATTATTAAGTGCCTGTCACAAGCCACTGTCAGTGCTAGGAGCATCGTGACTGTCTTATTCAACCCTTTTCACCACAACCTTGAGTGTTTAGCACGCCCAGGCTGCAAGCAAAGGAACGGAAGCTCAGTGATAGTAAGCGACCGTCAGGATTCTACACTCGGGGCTGCCTTCTCCCCAGCGGAGCCTGGACTAATGATCAAGAAGTTAACCAACTGGAACGAGAACACAGACTTCCGCAGCAATGGTGGAGGAAAGCCTGTCCAAAAGGAAGGGAGGCCAATCACAGCCCCCCGTTCCTGCCTTTCCAGTGTAGCCCCACCTCCCACAAGAGCAGGGAATTTCAGGGGCTCACGAGGATGCCTGAATGAGGCCTGGGCATTACTCTGTTGTGCAGACAGACAGGGTGGTCCAGGCAGCCAGTATTTCAAGCCAATTGTCTCCAGGTCCCAGTTCCAAGCCTCTCACCTTTGTAAAGAAAGCAGGCCTAGGGGATCACGGGTCCGATAGCATCTCGGCTCCGCGGGAGATGGAGGTGACTACACCTAGATACCTATACTGCTGGGTGCCCCTGCTTACTGCCGTCCTTGGAGGCTGCACGGGGAAACAGATTCTCCTCCCTATTCCTTAGAAGAACAAATCACCGGCTTCCTGATCTACGCCACAGGGGCTTCTTCAAGGCCAGCCGCTAAGCTGAGACACTTGGTGTGAGACATCATTCCCATGGGAAGGGACAAAGAAGACAGAAGGGGCGACACCAAAGTATAAACCAGATTTCTCAGAGACTGACCTAATAGGTGTAGGAAATGGTGGGAGAAAAGAGACTGAGATGGGCTGAGCAGACTGAGAATAGGGTATTTTTTTTTACTAAGTAAGTTTCTTGGTACATTTTGGATATACATAATGATCACATTCATCATACGGAATCTGTACCTGTACATGATATAACTTCACTCTTTTTTTCCCCATTCCCCTGTCCTCCCTTCAACCCCTCTTCCCCTCATTTACAAAAGTTTTATTTCCATTTTTTCCTTCTTTTCTCATTTATTTTTGCTCTTTCTCCCCCTCCCCTTCCCCTTCCCATTTGAACATTTTCTTCCTGAACATAGAGTGCTCTTGACTCCTGCTTTTTTATGGAACTTTAGAAGGAAACTACCTCCCAGGGTGCCTTGTGCTAATCAGACACGGCCACCACAGATTAGAAATGCTGTGTGATGATGCACTGTCACAGGAAGAGGGACAACTCTCACCCAAACGGCAGGAGAGACGGAAGACAGCAGAAAATTGGTAGCCAGTGGGCCTGGATGCGGTTTCTGTATTGAGGGACCCTGAAGTCAATGCTATGGGAGAGGCCAGTCTAAGAGAGAGACCCGCAGGAGCCCAACTGGGGCCAAATCAGGAAAGGCAGGTGCCCCGGACCCCACGAGGGTGAGAGAACACACCCTGCTACGCCGGCTCAGGGTGCAGCCGTGCCAGGAGCAGCTTGCAGAACAGCAAGCGGCCCCGCAGCCCTCCCCAGAGGGCACCTGGAGAAGGCGAAGGGAACGGAGGACACTTGAGGATAAAAACCGCCCAGAGCTGTGAGATGCATTTGAATTGATCAGATACCCAAAGTATACCAAGTTACACCACAGTAGCTGCTTTAAACGCCAAGAGGTTTCCTTAATTGGGAAGGTTACTGTGCTCATCTATCCCCAGCCACCAAAGATAAGATCAGTTTAAAGAGAGTGCGATTTTACACACGCAAATTATGGCATAAATTGTGACTCTGCTCCATGTGAGGAGGGGTGCATCCTGTCTTCCCAAAGTCTCTGTGAAGAAACTGAGCTCAGGGGCCCCAGCAGCAAGCTGAGCTTTCTCTTAGTCATGTTTCATTTAAGCCTCTTCTCCACCAGGAGAACAGAAAATTCTGAGCAACAGCAACCTGACGCCTAAGGAACAGAGAGGAGGAGCAGGGAGACAGAGGCTGTTACTGGGCATAGCTGGGACGGAGAGGGGCTGAGGCCTGGAGGTGCCAAAGGTCCAGGAGGGGTCTGTGCCAAAGGTCCCTGGAGGACATTCGAAGCCCACGGTGGGCCGTACAGATAAGACATAAGCAAAGGAGGAGAAAAAGAGGAAGGGAAGGAAGGAGGGGAACAAGCAGCACTCACCCAATTCCGCCTGCACCTCCCTGCAGCTCAGCAGCAGGAGACTGCCTTTCGTGAGAAGCTGCACCGGCATATTGGAGACGTGGGCCTGCCAAGCGCTCAGCTGGCTCACCAGCGTGACGTAGCTCGCGACGGGACACCCTCGCATGTCTTCCAGCTTCTGAGGCCCCCAGGCTTGCAGGAACTCATAAACCTCTGTTATCCAGCGATGCTCCCTGCAGAACTCCTGCACCTCCTGCGTCATGCCCTGAGGGTAGACCACATGCTTAGGGCACAGGCAGTGGCTAAGATAGAAACCCGGGGGAGCAGCCCATTCCTTACACCTCCGCTCTTACCTCCAGCAGTGCCTGCTGTGTAGTCAGGGCCTCCTGGATTCCAAGGTTGTTATCCAAATCCTCCTGAAGCTGATGATAATTGGGCGGCAAGTACTGGCCCCGAAGCCGGGACCCACGGACCTCTAGGATATCAGTAATTGGGTGAGACTTCCAGGGCCACAGCAGTCCTACGTTTGGGCCACAGAAGATGCGAACAGCATGGCTGGGCTGGCCCTGAAACTTGGGCGTCAGGAGCTCTGAGTCCAAGTTGTCCTCTTCATCTTCTGCTGGTGGAGCACCTGCCATGATTGTTCATGAGCGCCCCCCAGAGCCCACGCACACCCCTGCTCTACCCTGAGTGTGTAACACACACATCACACACACATATACACCCACTCCCTGCTTGTGAGAGCTTACACATACATCTGTGTCACAAACACCCGACCATGAGGGAAGTTATTAGTTTGAATTCAGGTGCAGAGAATAAAATTTACTCTAGCCAGTATAAATAGAAAGGGAATTATTACAACATATTAAATGGATTGTAGGGGGCCGGGAATATAGCTCAGTGGTACAAGCGCCTGCCTGGCAAGTGAAAGGTCCTGAGTTCAATTCCTGGTACCAATAAAAAAAATGGATTGTAGAGTAATTAGATCTGAGAACAAGACTAGTTTAGGCTAAACATTTAGAGCTTTGGGCTGACTGGCAAAGTGGAACGTTACTGCCATGCCACCAGCTACAACACTTCTCTGCTGGGTACATCTGCAGAGGGGATGGCATATGCCTCTCCCCAACTAAATTCAGCATTAATTACATGTGACACCAAGCTGCAAGGCGGTATGGAAAGTGTAGTTTGTAGCACTCCAGCCTCTGCAATACAGAAGAGGGGCTGCAAAGGGGTATTATGCATGCTAGTCCTCAGTGTCTGCCTTAAGAAATCCTTGAACCCAGCTTCCCCTTAACTTTTAGGAACTAGTTCATTGCCAAGATGAGTGTTTGTTTAAAATGTTGTCAGAAAGAGTGGAACAGCATCAAAATGCTCAGAAATAATAGTTATTGTATCCACACCTAATGATCCAATGCGCCCAAGTCTCAGACTTCGGAGCTCTTCTATTCCGCATCTATAGCTACTCTTTAGGTCTCTCCCAGGTTTAGGACATGAGGAACCATCTATTTGCTTCTAAATTTATCTCTAGCCCAAGACTCTCTCTGAATTCCAATCCCATTTAAACTGCCTACTCTATGTTTGTGCTTAGATATCCAACATGCACTCAGACCTAACAGGGTGAAAATGAGCTCTGATTTCTCTCCCTCATAGAACACTGTTCCTCTTGCAGTCCTCTAATTTCAGTAGGTGAGAAAGAAGTCCATTTTTCTACACAGCCATTACAAACCTTCTTTTTTTTTTTTTGAGACAGAGTCTCACTATGTAGACCAGGCTGGCCTTGAACTCACAGCAATACTCCTGCCTCAGCTTCCCAAGTGCAGATAACAGGTGTGCATCACTACGCCTGACAACCATCACAGAGTCTTGCAACCTCTACACTCAAAATATACCCACAATCCAATTCTCACATCTACCATCACCTACTCTCCCCATCCCATTTTCTCACTGCATTATTGCAGTACCCTTTTAATTTTTTCCCAGTTTGGCCTTTGTCTCTGATACCTTACAGTCTCAGTTCCATATAAGAATAGCAAGCCAAACCGGGCACGGTGGTGCACGCCTATAATCCCAGCGCTTGGGAGGCTGAGGCAGGAGGATAGTAGTGAATTTGAGGCCAACCTGGGCTAGATAGCAAGACTCTATCTCAAAAACCAAACAAAACCAAACCAGAATAATTACTCCAGAATAATTCTGAGAAGATGATGAGAGAGGTAATCAAATCCTCACATAAAAATGATAGCGCAGTTAGACAGTAAAACCACCTACCACAGCTAACATTTGTAGCAAATGGGGAAAGGGACCCCCAGAAATCCCAAAGAACACATAAGTAGGGACAAACCGCCCGCAGTCTCAGTTCCCGCTGCTCTCAGCAGCTCTGCAGAAGCGGGGAGAGGGGCTCACTGAGGCGCTGGGCAAACCTGAGAAGAGAAAAACCCAGAAACAACCAACAGGCGTTTTCTGGGGAGCAGGGGGCCAATGCAAGAGCAGCAGGAAGAACTGGATGCGGTTTTACCTGCCCCAGGAGCTGTCCAGTAAGGCTCGTTGGAGCCGAAGCAATCTGTGCTGCATGAACTCTTGAAACCAAACAGCTAGGATGTAGGACAGAAGGCGGCACGAGAGAGAAGCTGCTGGGAGGAGAATAAAAGCTGAGCAGGAAAGAAGCGGCAGAGAAAAACAAGAGGCCAAGAGAGAAGTGCAATGCGGAGACGGAAAGCAGGAAATCCCGAAGAGCTGGCCACCTTCCTCAAACGTAAAACAAACACAAAACTCAGAAGCACACTGGAAGACTAGAAAGACATTCCAAACCAAGTCACTTTTTGAAAGTTAAAAAAAAAAAGCTAATTTTTCTAATATGAGCAACAGAGAAGAGAAGAACAAGGGATGATTACCAAAGGTTCTGGAGTTCTTTTCGGAGTAGCACTGAAAATGTTCTAGAATTGACGATGGCGGTGCATGTGCAACTCTGTAAGCACACTAAACACCTTTGGGATGTGCACTTTTTGTGGGTGAGTTACCTCTCAGTAAAGCTGTTTTACAATAAAAGATAGAAAACAAAATATCCTCTAACTTAAAAAAAATAAAAGATTTAAAACTATGTTTTGAAACAAAAGCAAAACAAAACCTGAGAATCCCGCTCCACAATGTTCAACACCAAGGCCCATTTTCCTAAAATTACTGGATTTCAAAGAAAAAGAAAAAAAACTAATTAGAACGAGCAAGTGATTTTGTGAAAGAACTAAAATTAGATTATCATTAGACTGTTTTTTTTTTTGGTTTTTCTCCGGTATTGGGAACCTAACTCACGACCTTGCGCTTGCCAGGCAGGCGCTTTTGCCGCTGAGCTAAATCCCCAGCCCTCTATCATTATACTTTTTAAATAGCAATTCATAAGGCCTGAAGAAAATAGAAATAATATACTTAAGATGTTTGAAGGAAAAAAATACAAACCAATACTTTTATACTTAACAACACTGACTTTCTTTTTTTTTTTTTTTTTTTTTTTTTTTTTTTTTTTTTTTTTTTGGTTTTTCTCTGGTACCGGGAACCGAACTCACGACCTTGTGCTTGCCAAGCAGGCGCTTTGCCGCGGAGCTAAATCCCCAGCCCCAATACTGACTTTTAAAAGGCGCAAATTGTTGTCAACATGAAAAAGCTTAGCAGGGTGCGCTGGTGCATACCTGTAATCCCAGCACTCCAGAGGCTGAGGCGGGACGATTGCCACCACTGCAAGGCCAGCCTGAACTACACATTGAGACCTTGTCTCAAAAACACAAAAGAAAAAGAAAGCCTATTGGAAGCCAAGATAGCTGGTCTGAGCAACCAGAGAAACTGGAAAGATGTGATGGAGAGAACTAAAAATAAAAGGATAAGCAGCGATGTAAGAGACAGGGGCTCTCTTCCTGCCTGCCTAGCTTGGATTTCTGGGAAGGCTGGTGCTGCATCTTCTTCACTGCCTTTGACTTTAGTAACGTTTTATATGCTGTGAGCCCCCACATATAAGACAACATTGAAGAACAGTGATTTCAAGGTGCCAAGACCCAGGAGATTGTTTAGGCAATAAAATGCTACACAAAGTTGATTCAAATGTAAGCACAAGCAATGGAAAGAAAAGCTAGTCTATTTTTAATGTGCTATGGCTAAAGGAATACTCCCTCCACCATACACAGACACACAAGAAGAGAGAAATCACTAGTAACTTCATTCCTTGTTTATTTTTTGTCTTTTTGAGACAGGGTCTCACTATGCAGTTCAGGCTGGCCTTCAGCTCACACTGTAGCCCAGGCTGGCCTCGAACTTGCGGCGATCTTCTTGACTCAGCCTCCTGAGTGCTGGGATTATAAGCACGTACCACCATACCTGGCCAGTAACTTCATTCCTAAAGTGAGAGTGAAATTTGCTTATCATAGAGCACTGGATTTCAACTAAGTCAAAGACATAAGTTGTTTGTATTTTTTTTTTTTTTTTTTTTTTTTTTTTTGGTTTTTCTCTGGTACCGGGAACCAAACTCACGACCTAGTTGTTTGTATTTTATGAGGGACTTGGGGTTTCAATTTAAAATATGTGTGTATTGGTATAATACATACAGGTGGACATGGGGTTGCATTTTTTTATCATTAATTCAGCTTTGAAGGATCTAAATAATAGAGACCTTCACCGCAGGTTTCCTTGAATTAGTGACCCAGACATTTCACACAGAATAAAGCCGATCAGTCATACTTCTACAAGTATAAATACGATCTCTTCAACTTTTCTCACTGAAGCCAGGCATGGTGGCGCATGGCTGTAATCCCAGCACTCCGGAGGCTGAGACAGGTGGATACCTGTGAGCTCAAGGCCAGCCTGGGCTACAAAGTGAGTTCAAGGCCAGCCTGAACTGCATAGTGAGACCTTGTCTCAAAAAGACCAAAAAAAAGTTTCTCACTGAAAAACAAAAATCTCCTTCCCTTTCTTCTAAATTCCACTCACTGCCACACTGCTTCCTTTTATACTTCCTTCCTGGACAAGTGTAGCTGTCCAGCAAAACAAAAACAAAAACAAAAACAAAAAATAACAAACACCCTGCACAATGAAAACAAAAAACCCTCCTAAAACCAATAATCATAGCTTTCATTCTTTTGTTGTTGTTGTTGTTGTTGCTATTTATTTTGCTATAGTAGTCCAGGTTGGCCTTGAGTTCACTATGTAGCCCCAGCAGGCCTCAAACCTACAGAGATTTTCCTGCCTCAGCTTCCCAAGTGCTGGTATTACAGGCCTGTGCCACCATGCCTGGCATAGTTTTAATTCTTGGCATTGTATCTCTAAGCTAAACTTTAATACCATCTCAACCCAAATGGGTATCAAAAGATTTTATAAGGGGCTGGGGATTTAGCTCAACAGCAAAAGCGCCTGCCTGGCAAGCGCAAGGTTGTGAGTTCGGTTCCTGGTACCGGAGAAAAACCAAAAAAAAAAAAACAAACAAAAAAAAAGATTTTATAATAAAATGAGGCAATCCTTTGTCTCTTTTCAGTGTAACAAACTTATCACAAATACGAAAAAGATACTCTGATCTTAGTAGGATATTGTCATACCACAGTAAGAATGTTAAGGTGATAATTGTTTTTGTTTTTAAGACAGGGTCTCGCTATGTAGTTCAGGCTGACCTTGAATTCACTGTGTAGCCTAGGCTGGCCTTGAACTGGTGGCGATCCTCCTGCCTCAGCCTTCTGAGTGCTGGGATTACAGGTGTGTGCCTCCATGCCGCACTTGGTGCATGTTTCTTAAAGACTGCTAGTAGAGTTTTACCTACTGCATATTCACCCTAGTGAAAATTATTCCATTTTTCTTAATTAATTTAGGGACAATTTTAAATCAGAGTTCTGCTTCTGATTCCCCCATTGTATGAATCTAGTTTTCTAGATGTGATTTTCCAGATCTTTTTCTCCTTACAGTTTTTTTTTTTTTTTTTAATTTTTTGGTTTTTCTCCGGTACAGGGAACCGAACTCACGACCTTGCGCTTGCCAGGCAGGTGCTTTGCCGCTGAGCTAAATCCCCAGCCCCTCTCCTTACAGTTTTATAGAAAAGTTTAAAGAATGGTACTATGCACTCTCATCCACCCACTTAGATTCAACAATTAACATTTTGTCACACTGTTGTGTTTTTTCTTCTATCTCTTGTTTCCCTTAAACTCTTTGATAGTGAGATACAAGCAAAAAAAAAAAAAGCATCACCACATTCAAAATGGCAGGGAAAAACCTAATACACTGCAGGTGACTGTTTTCACTTTCATCAGAATTTAGAATAAAAATTCAAGATTTTAAAAAACAATTCGAAGGAAGACACTACAGCAAGTGATGAGAAAATGCTGTGAGTTCTCTGATTTATCCAGATCTGTAATGTAACACCCACAGGAGTGAGAAGTAGGGAAATGAGCTGAGCCTGCCCTGACAGACTCCCTTTTCTAATCTTCAAGCTCAGATTTTTTGTTATTTCCACTTCTGCAGATTCATAAACTACTGTTTCTGATTCCAGAGCCTTTTCCCTTTCCACCGCACTATGTAAGTCAAATACCAATGGTCCCTACAAATTACCCTACATTGATTTTTGGAAAAAAAGTGACCCAACCAGTGTGACTTACAAAAAACAAACAAACACGCAAGTAAACACAGACTCCTTTCAATGAACATTAAAAAGCATCCAGCCAGGAGTAGTGGCACATGCCTGTAATCTCAGCACTTAGGAGGCTGAGGCAGGAAGATTGTTGAGTGTTCGAGGCCAGCCTGGGCTACAAAGTAAGCTCAAGGCCAGCCTGAACTGCATAGCAAGACCCTGTCTCAAAAAGACAAAAAAAAAAAAAAAAAAAAAAAAAAGCCTCTACATGTCCGATATCACTCAATGCACTTAATGATTTTGTTTGTGCCTGCCTTAGTATTCTAAAGAAAATATGAAAATGTGTTTCCTTGCTGGTAGTCAATGGTACTAATGAGCTACTGTACTCCACAGGAAATGAAAAGCTGGGCGTGGTGGCGCACGCCTGTAATCCCAGCACTCCGGAGGCTGAGGCAGGAGGATTGCTGTGAGTTCGAGACCAGCCTGGGTTACAAAGTGAGCTCAAGACCAGGTTGAACTGCATAGTGAGACCCTGTTTCAAACCCCCCCCCCCGCCAAAAAAAAAAAAGAAATGAAAAAGAGCTGCATGAAATAAAGCAAACGCTGTGTGAGCAGAGCTCCTCAACAAGTACAGATTAACATAACAATCCATTTCAACACGAAATGAAATGCCACTATGACACTGGTGAAAAACCTTGTGGAGTTTTGGATGTATCGGGAAGGCAATGTCCTCACACCCCTTACACACCCCCTTACCTCGCGCACACAAGCATAAGCACATGAATTAGTCAACAAAAACACCTCCTGACTCTTCCCCCCACAGCACACATGCACAGTGCCCAGGTTACAGCTGCTCCATCGCACCCGAAGGCCTGGGCCTCCTGACCATTTCTCAAGCCACCGACACCTCCATGTGCCCTTCCCTCCTTCCAGCCTTCCTACCCCTGCCCAGGTCTCCTTAAGTACCTTCAAAATACAGGGAACCCCTCAAGGTCTTCAGGTCAGCAGACTGCATTAGCTTTATGCCAGAATATAGAGAGAGGGCAGAGATGGAGAAACAGTGAGAGATCTAAACCAGGCTGAGGGCTCCTGGGATGGGAAGGGGGAATTCCTAGGGAGCCCAGAGTACATACCTTCAGGGCAGACGCCTTGGTGGAATGGAGGCCCTCAGACAGAATTTCGGTCATACTTTCAATACTGGGCATAGGGGAGAGCTGGCAACCCTCACCACATACCAGCTGTGATGAAAGAAAGGGTTTCTGCCTTGGAGCCTGTGAAAGAAGGGTCAGGAAAGGAGGGAGGGTTAGATGTCGCACACACCACCCCCATCCGGCCCCTGACTGCCTTCCTACCGCCACCCACCACCTCACTTGCAGGCTGTTGGCCACAAAGGAGGTTATTTCGTCTTCCAGGATCGTAACAAGGTTCTGACAGATCATGTAGCTGACCAGGCGGGCAAACTTTCCCAACTGCAGCAACCAGGTCTCTGCCTGCTTCAGCTTCTGCTCCAGCTGCTGGCGCTGCACCTTGAGCAGGTAGATGGAGCCCTGGCCCGTCCTGATCCTGTGGCTGTTCTGCACTCGCTCCTGCAGGCCCTGCTGCATGTGGTACGTGTCCTCGTGGATCTGCCAGGGCAGAGAGTGGGGACTCCCTGGAGACGGAGGGACGGAGAGGACACCGCCCACTCGCTGGTCTCTGTGCCTGGAGTCTGGAACCTAACTCTGCTCCTGGCAGGCCCCTTTTTAGCAGAGATTAGCCCCAGACCAGAGAAGATGCAGACCGGAGAGTATATATTAAGAGGACACAAATGTTACGTTAATGTTGACAGGCCAGGGCTGTCCACTGAAAGCCGCTAAGGTGGAACTCAAGTAGAAAACTTTCGCATATGTAAATAGAGAAATTCAAAAGGCACAGAATAAACCAAGAAAAAGACTGGATGAGTAAGATTTAGCAACCGTCAGGCCAGGGATGTAGCTCAGTGGCCCAGGGCCTGCCTTGCAAGCCAGCGAGAGGCCCTGAGTTCAATTCCCAGTACCCGCCCCTGAACCCCCCCGCAAATAAAAAGATTTAGCAACAGTCACAGGATATAGAGTCCAACTACTAGGCCTGGGAGTTGTGGCCTGCTGGTAGGAAAATGCTGCTTTATGCTCTATTGGAAACTGTTTCTGACCACTAGCATAGACTTTTGACTGAGGTGGGATAAAGGCCTAAGAGCTTGTGAATTCTTTCCAGATCTAGGAGGGTTTTTAGTGAATTCCTTTTCTTGTTTTTGGAACTGAGAATCGAACTCAGGACCTTGCACTTGCCAGGCAGGTGCCGTGCCGCTGAGCTATATCCCCGGCTAGGAAGGCTTTTAGTCTATAAAGGCCGCTGACAGTTGCCAAGTCTCTGGACTTGTCCTGTGGAGGAACAGAAGGAAGACACCAGGAGGCTGTGCTTCACCAGACGGACCCCGTGTCCTCACTGCGCTCCTGTTCCTCGTGGTGCTCCACAGAGCTTGCGACTGTAACTGACTGGTGTCTGTGGGTTGCATTTTTGCTATGCGTGAGCTCGAACCCAGCTTTCTGAGACCCAGCTGAGCCCCAAGCAAGGCACATCACACAGGGACACGCGCGCAGACGCGGCGAGGTGTCCTCTTCCACGCTGTAGCACACCCTCAGTACCTGCTGCCCGCAGTGCTTCACAGCCCTCAGTCGTCTCCTCCCCCTGAAGACATGCTTCCTCTTCCTCCTCTTCTCCTCCTTTAACACAGTCATCACCACCAACTTCATCCTGAATTTCTTCCATTAAGTATGAGAGGCTGACTGCTTACCCCTTTTCCAGCTCTGAGCCTGCTTCACTTTCCCCCTCATCCCCCTCTTCTTCCTGGTCCCCCTCTTCTTCATGTCCTGCAGGTGACACAGCTTCATCATCCTCTTCACCTCCCTCCTCCTCCTCTTCCTCTTCTCTGAGCCTGGTGCTTTGTTATCTTCTCTGTCATATTCATCTAAATATGTGATTTACTGCAGCGCTTCAAAAATACTTTCTTGGTAACCTCCCAGGTTTGTGATTTAACAGTTAAACAAATCACAAATCGAGACTTTTCAAATTTCTTCCACTGTACTGAGATCTTTCATTTTGTTTCCACTCAAATTCAGGGAGGTAAGATCTGGACATCTGTCTGCTAAAACTTCCAAGCCTTCAGAAATTACACTGTTACTAAATTCCAATTTTTGAAGTTGATTTAGGCTGGGAAGCCAGCCAGTGCATTTAATTCCACATTAGTTATACCCAGGAACTCTGTCATTCAGCCTGTAATCCCAGCACTCAGGAGGCTGAGGCAGGAGGACTGCTGTGAGCTTGAGGCTAGCCTAGGCTACATAATGAGTTCAAGGCCAGCCTGAGCAGGATAGTGAGACCCTATCTCAAAAAAAAAAAAAAAAAAAGTGTCCTTCAGGCCTTCAATTGCCCCCTGGCACACAGCAATTATCAGAGACAAACTGTCACTTTCTCCCAGGCTCTGTTTCTATTTTTGTTTTGGTTTTTCTCCGGTACCAGGAACCGAACTCACGACCTTGCGCTTGCCAGGCCGGCGCTTTGCCGCTGAGCTAAATCCCCAGCCCCCCAGGCTCTGTTTCTTAACTTCAAGTTAATCTGATGGAAACCACTATGAAGCAGCTCTGAGCAGGACTTAAATTAACCAATTGACTTTCCATATTTACTTGTGAGTCTGTCCAAGGCCTATGCTCCTTGTCTGGAGAAGGGCAGTGGACGCATAGTAAGTGAACCTCTGTGAGTCACTAATCCCTACTAAGGTCTGTAATGGCAGATGAAGCTGGAAAGCCTCAAAGGATAAGAAAAGATCACAGCCAAGGACACCTGGATCCAACCTCAGCTAGATAAAGACTATAGCCTCAGGCATCTCACTCCTGGGTGGATTAACTTAATACCTTACTTGGAGAAGACCTTGAGTGGTTCTGCCCTTCTTGAGTACTCTCCTCCCCTCTTTTGATAACTAAATAAATACAGGCCACCCAGAGAAGGTCGTGGTCTTAGCCCTGAGAGAATCTTGAGTTCTGTGAGAGGCCTTTGATTCTCCTGGAGCCTAAAATCATTCCATTCCCCTCTTTTGATTTAGCCTTTGCCATATACTAGTTCAGGAGATGGCGGACCTGATTAGCCCTCAATAACTAAGGGATGTTATTAACCCAATATGAATCCTCCTTCTTCAGCTCATGTCTTCCTCCTACTCTTCTAGTACTACTCCCTTCCATTCTCCTCTCCTGCTGTCCCCACTGCCCCCAAGCCTAAGTGTTTGAAAATATGGAAATGAATGAAAAGAACTGCAAATACAAATGCTCACCACCACCAGTCAGGTGCAGGGCAGCAAGAAAAGGACAGCAAGTGGGGCCCAAGGAGTTGGGACTCTACTCATCTGCCCCTGCCTCCTTGTCCACACACATGAGTGCACACACACACCAGCTGTGTCTCCTCCTTCTTCTCCCTCCTCTTCTTTTTCTTCTCCTTCCCCTTCCTCCTCTTTTTCTTCTCTTCTTCTATCATCACCATCACCATCACCATCATCATCATCATTATCATTTTGGTTCTAGGATTGAACCTAGGACCTTTTTCACTGACCTATATCCCCTGACCTTTTTTTTTTTTTTTTTTTTCTAATTGTGATATGGGTCTTCCTAAATTGCTGAGTTGCCCAGGCTGGGTTCTAATTTGTGATCTTCATGCCTTAGCCTGGGTGAGTGCTAGAGTTACAAGCACATACTATCACCCCAGGCTAAAAAGTTAAATGTATTTATTTAATAATTTTTTGATACGGGGTCTCACTGTGTAGTTCAGACTGGCCTTGAACACAGCATGTAACCCAGACTGGCCGTGAACATGAGATGATCCTCCTGGATCAGCCCGCCAAGTGGCAGAAGTATGGGCATGTACTACTATACTCAGCTAACAACGGTATTTTTAGATACCATGTATAATACCACCAAGCTGCACCGAATGTCAAGTAATAAGTCTAACGATGTAATGCTTAGGACTTGTATAGGAAACCTATAAAAGTTTGGTAAGACAAATGAAAGAAGGCAAAATAAATGGAGAGATCAGAGTCAAGTTAAGAAACTAAATGTTAAAATATAAACTCTCCCCATATTGGCCTATAGAGTTAAAGCAAGTCCACTGAAAATTCAAATAAGTCATCTTATTTGAATTTTGATCGGTTGATTCTATATTTTATCGGTAGAAATTGATCGGTTGATTCTATATTTTATGTGGAAATTCAAAGAACCCAAAACATCCCTGGTCATTTTGACAAACAGAAAAGTGGTAGGATTTAGGATATCAAATATAACCCTCCTATAATATATAATGTATAATAATTGACACTGTGACATTGATGAATGGACTAATGGACAGGACAGAACAGAGAATCCAGAAATAAACTCACACAGATAATGTCATCTTATTTTTTAAAAAGACACTGCTACTATTAAGTGGGGGAAAAGATAATCATAATAATAAGTGGAAAATTAACCTTGACTTTTACCTCACACCAAATATAGAAATTAATTTGATAGATCATAGACCTAAATCTGAAACATATGGTAATAAGGTTTCTAAGGAAACAGGAGAATATCTATACCACTTTGGGGTAGGCAAAAATGTTTTATTAATCTAGGACTCAAAATACTCAGTAATAATGTAATTTAAAAGGCACTAATGAAAATAAATCAATAAAATGAACTTTAAGACAATGAAGATCCAGGAGGCTGAGGCAGGAGGATCACCATGAGTTTCAGGCTAGCCTGGGCTACATAGTGAATTTAAGGCCAACCTGAATTACATAGTGAGACCCTGTCTCAAAAAAAAAAAGTTTCTGCTCATTCAAAGATGCCATTAAATCATGAAAAAATAAGCCACACGCTTGGAAGAGATGTCCACATTACATCTATTTGACATATGCTTAGAATGTAAGAGGTAGGAAAAACTGTTTTTTCTCCTCTCGTCCTACTCAACACTTCTGACCCCAGATGTATGGGGGTTCTCCCACACATCTAGCAGTTCTTCTGTAAACACTAACTGTGTGCCCCATAGTTTAACTCAATTCTGATGCTATCATCCTGGAGATAGCTTCAGATACTCTCAGATGAAGGCTCAGTCCCACAAGACTGCCCCCTACTTCTGTTGCCAGTTGTTGTAGCCCATTTGTGTTGCTTTAACGCAACGCCTGAGGCTGGATAATTTACAAAGAACAGAAACTTACTTTGTTGTAATCTGGAGGCTGGGAAGTCCAAGGTCTGGTAAAAGCTTTCTTACTGTATCCTCCAGATACAGTAAGCTGTGTTCTTATGTCGTGAAAGGTGGAAGAGCAGAGTGGCAAATGACACTGAACTGGCCCCTTTATAATCGCCCCCATCTGCGGGCCCTATCGCTTTCCAGAGGTTCTGCCTCCTAACATTAGTTTGAACACCTGACAATAAACTATGATACTCAGTCATGGGCAAGAGGGAAATGCAGGGCTGGGGATGTGGCTCAGTGGTAGAGCTCTTGCCTTGCATGCACAGGGCTCTGGGTTCAATCCTCAGCACCACAAAAATAAAAAAAATTTTAAAAAGAGAGAAGTACACAACAGGACCTCCCAGACCCCTGGACAGGGGTGCACACCTCAGATACAAAGTAGGCACAATTAGGAAGGGCTTTGCTATTGCATGCATCTGTGAGCCTTAGTAATCTGTCAAAGGTTCAAGATAGGTTCAAAGATAATCTCAGCAGCATGAAAACTCAGTATTCCATTTCTTAAAGTCCCTAATGTCCCTAGTTCCCTAATGTTAGAACCAACAAGCCACAAAATAGACATTGTTATTTTCCTTCCTCTCTCTGCTCCTCAGCCAGGGCCAATCCTTAGGGAGAGTTTGAGTCCTAGTCTCTGTTCATCTGTTCATGACCCATCTATCCCAGTGCAAGGCTGCTGTCGCTGGACAGGACAAAGGGCGTGACCCAGCTGTAGGGTCCGGGTCACAGAGGGGATCCCAGGAGGAACTTAACTAAGAGGAGGATGCAACTTGGGCAGCTCAGGTGGAAAAAAGATTCACAGGACACTGGAGCCTCTTACCAGCTGAAGAATAGATGTACAGAGGTTCAGACAGCGGCGGAGTAACTGCAGAGCCTTCCTTCTCTCCTTGAATAGAGCCTTCTTCAGATCCAGTAGCTCATAGCACCGATCCGGCTCCTGGGGTAGCCAGGACACAGAGTGTAGCTCCTGCAGAAGCCTGGAATCAAGGTATGAGCTACTTAGAGTTGGCATCCCAGCCCTTCTTCCTCGGGCACTTTTGACCTCTTCCCAGCCCAACTTGCTCCTGACTGAGCATGTTTTCTTCAAAGATTGTAATATTCCCACTGACTAGCAGTCACTCACTCTTGAGTGCTCTTTGGGAAAGTTAAAACCCAGAAAGTTACTAGCTGGGAACTACTTGAAAAAGATTCAAGGCATGTGCTGATGCTTACCTTGAGTGTAAAGGTCCAGGGAAAGCTAACGTGTTGAAGATTTGGTCCCCAGTGCAGCAGTGTTCAGAAGTGGGGCCTTTGGGGGACAACTGGACCATAAGGGCCCTGACCTCACTGAGTGGTGGTGGAAACTGCCATAGAATATACCTTGGAGGAGGTAGGTTATCTGAGGTGTGCTTTTGAAGATATATCCTCCCCCACTTCCCGCCACCATAATGGGAGCAGCTTTGCTGCACCGTGTGCTCCTCACCATGTTGCTCTACCTTGCCACAGACCCAAAGCAACAGAATCAGGCAACCATAGACTGAAACCAGGAGCCAAAAATCAATTCTTTTTCCTTTCACTTCTCTCAGGTATTTTGGTTTAACAATGGAAAGCTGACTAGCATAACATACCTTTTCAGTTTCTACTGAGCTTTTTTTTAAAAAAAATCCTACAGTATGGTGGTGGTGCCACCAAAAGAGTGAATCCTGCACTACCAGGAGAAAGTGTCGAATGGCATCAATGGTCCAACTTAAAAGAAGAGAAAAAGAGACTTCTTTCTGGCAATAAGGGAACCTGAAGTTCCTAAAAGTATAGGTAGACAAATGAGTTTTAGGATTAAAGTGCTGAAAGCATAACTTTTCCATAGTTTGACCACCTCTGAGGAAGCCAACTGTTTTGTTTTCCACTCTCCCTCTCCCCCTCAAAGAACTCCACCTCTCTAAATATCCTTTAAAAATATTAAAGACCCCAGAAGAGGACAGAATGATCATAATGGGTGTCATTTATTCAGTGCCTACAGGTACTGTATATCCACAATTGCATTTAATTTTCATGACAGTTGTTTTGGCAGAAATCGTTACCCTAGCTTTCAGGTCAGGAAACTGAGGCACAGAGAGTAAGTTCCATGCTAGTGTTGAGGATCTAAATTCAGATCCGTCCGCCCTCCCAAGCTCTTATGCTTTGAATTCCACCGCAGGGGCTAGACAAGACTGGAGAATGAAATCTGCCTTATACCAGCGGGTCAAACTCAGACTTGAAAGTTTCTCAGCGAGAACCACTAAGAGTTAGTCGGCACACTGTTTGCATTAAAATCTGGGCCAAACAGTTAAAGTTAAGAATTTTACCCCAAAACGTGGACTTCCAGGAAATCCTGAAAAATAAACTGGCTGATCACACTGGACCTATATTCCCAAGTGGCAACAATTAGTTGTAGCCAGGAAGTGACTGCCCTATTTCGATATAATCTCTAGACTGGAGTTCCCCTTTATCCCGGATGTCTTACATCTAACCACTGCATACCTCCTGTATAGGCCCCACAGACATTTGAGTTTGGAATGGCTATCATAGAACAGACCTAGGAATAGCTGAGCATCGTAAAAGGAAGGCAAGGAAGTAGTGGAAATAAGCAGCCTTCCCTTCCCCAGAAGTGTACACACAAAAGCAGAGAGAGAACAAAGAGCAGACTGGATTCAAACCCCAGTCTTGATCCTGTCAAGTAATTGTGTAATCATCTGAAGTAAGATTATGTAAAGGACACAGTTACATGGGGATATGTGCAGAATATATGACTCAGAGAAAAAAGCAAATTATGTAGCATATGATCATATTTCCTATATGTAATAGGAAAAAAGACTAAAAGGATACATAACCACAAACTGTTCATAATGGTTATTAAGGTGGCGGGATTAGACTTTTTCTTTGTGCTTTTCTGTTTTGCAATTTTTCTACGATGCTACACTGCCATTTGTGAAAATAATTTTTACAATCCACTGAAGTTGTATTAAAACCTTACCTGTTAATATGGAGAAGCCCAGCTCCAAAATGGGGCACAGCTGAGAGCAGATGGTTCCCGAGGAAAGTCCGGAGCCGACACAGCCCCTGCCACCTTACGCTCTTCCTCCAGCTGCAGATCAGAGGTCGGTGACAATATGCTGTTGCGGTCCTCCATTTCCCCCCAGCCCCACCTCCACCATCACCTACCAGGCGAAGGCCTTGCGTACAAGGCAATACTTAAAGAATGGAATGAGCTGGAGCTGCTGCCAGAGAATACACTGGTGGTGCCAGGCACCCAGCGTCAAAGCCTCATTGCCCTCCACGGGATGTACATGCAGGATCCCAAAGGGAGAGAAGATGTAGTGCTCAGGATTCACACTTTTTGCGGGCACCACCACCAGATTGTACGGCCTTTAAAAAAAAAAAAAAAAAAAAAAGGCTCAGTAGAAACGGAAGGAACTTGTGCCGATTTCAAGAACAGACAAGAGAAGGCTTGAGGAGATTAAAAAGGAAGGGAGGCAAAAGAAAATAGGAAGATGGAAAAGAGCAGAATGATTTTCAAACTGAAATGATGGAACAAACATTATTAAAAAGAAATCAAAGCCAAAGATAGGGGCTGGGGATTTAGCTCAGCGGCAAAGCGCCTGCCTGGCAAGCACAAGGTCGTGAGTTCGGTTCCCGGTACCAGAGAAAAAAACAAAACAAAACAAAAAAACCCAAAAAATTTGCAAAGCCAAAGATAGACGAAGAGAAAGAAAACGACACTATTCTGTCCCAAGAAGTTCAGTCTCCAGACCCAGATATCTCACAGCCCGTGAAGTTTAAGACGCTACCAATTATAAGCTACGGCGCTATTCTATGAAACACTGAAATGAAAAAAATGCTTCCAGTGTGATATTCCATCAGTTTGTAAGATGTACCACGATTTCAGACACGCGGAAATGTGGAGAAAATGCCCATTCTAAAGGCGGTCATCAGAGCCTGGGGGGTGGGGGAGAAGGAAGGAGCGGCAGGATGATTAATTGGCGCAGAGGTAGAGCTGGAGGGGACGAGGAGCTTCCGATGTTGTGCAGCCCAGTGGGAAAACTATGATTAACAACCATTTTTAAAAATTAATTTATTCCATTGCCCTCTGTCAGAAAGCACCCATCAAAAAGGCGGACGAATTATTGGTCTGCAGAGCACTGGAGACACGAAGACCAGAAGCCCCTGGCACTGGCATTTAGCCATCCTTCCCAGAAGTAGGTCTGGCTGGAGGGACACTGCCTTCTTCCTCTCCCACTTCTCACCTGCTGAGTTCCGGGATTTAACAGCAAAAGCTGCCAAAGAAAAAGATGTAGACACTGTGGTCACCAGTTACTCAGACCAAAGAGCCACGAGTGCTACTTTCAAGAGAAAATTTAAAAGATCAGTTTAAATACCCAGTTTCAAAAGTTTGGTGTTCTCCTTTCCTAAGGGACAGAAAGGTGGAAGACACCGGGGAACATGCCTCGGACATGACCTGTCACGCCAGGATCCGTGACCGCGGCAAGGGGCTCCCTCCAAGGCAGCGGCTGCTCCACGGCACAGTGGACATTCTCTGTAGTTTCTTCCAACTCTTTCTGCTTGACGTTGGTTTCCTTTGTGATTTTGTTCTTGGCTTCCTGTTTGCCCAGTTTCAAAAATTCACTGAGAGTTAATTCTTCAAACTGCTCCTTGACAGAAAGGAACACAGCCAGAAGAATGCTTTTTCTGTTCCTCTATGGGGTTGCCATCTGGTTTCCAGCCTTCCAGCTCCTTGAAGCAGAAGGTACGCTGCGCCAAATCGGGCTTTTTCCTAGCGGGTCAGTGGATGAAGCTGGTCTCAGCCATCACCCGCTCCAGGGTGCAGGTGCACCCTCCAAGAATGGCCAGTTCTTTGGTTTTTGTTGTTGTTGTTTTGTTTTGTTTTTTGAGACAGGGTCTCATTCAGCAGTTCAGACTCGCCTTAGACTCACTTTGTTGCCCAGGCTGGCCTCGAACTTGCAGTGATCCTCCTACCTCAGCCTCCCAAGTGCTGGGATTACAGGTGTGCACCACCACGCCTAGCCAGAAGGGCCAGTTCTTCAATGTAGAGACCTGGTGATCTTTGAGATAGAGCTGTCATACCTGGGGCAATGATGCGGGGGGGGGGGGGCGCCCATTCTGTCGCTGCCACCACAGATTCAACAACAATTAATTGAATATTTCCAAATAGCTAATAAAGAACATTCTGAATGTTCTCTATTCAAAAATAATAAGTGCCTAAGGTAATAGATACATCCATATTCTGATTTGATCATTATACATTGCATACATCACATTGTACCGCCTATATGTGTATAATTATTATGTGACAAAATTTTTAAAAATCAGCTGGGGATGTAGCTCGGTGATAGAGCACTTACTTACCATGTGTAGGCTCTGGGTTGAATTTCCATACCACAAAATAGATAGATAAAACATTTTAAAATTTAAACATTATTTAAAAATATGTAAGATTTGGATATAATGGGGAGGAAGTTATGCCTCGAATTGTGAGGAAGGAGGAGGCTTGTTTTTACAGCCCCAGAGATAAAATTAGGACCAGGAAGTAGAAGTTAAAAGAAAGTAGATTTTGATTCAGTCTAAGGAACAGGATGCCTTCAGTCTAAGGAACAAAAACAAAGCTTTGATTATTTTGATTACTTTTAAACAAAGCTTTAATCACTTTGATTCAGTCTAAGGAACAGAAACAAAGCTTCCCAGACACTGTAAAGATTTAAACAATCAATTTTTGCACTGAAGATGGAAGAGACTATCATTAAATTTGCTTCTGAGGCTATGATCAAATGTTTCTCTCACTTTAGAATAGAATAAAGTAGAAGGAGCAAAAGCTGGGAAATCAGTGACTGAGACAAAAGGCTAGGAGAGAAAAGGGTAGGAAAAAGGAGGTAGATTGTGCAGAGGAGGAGGCTGAGGAGAAGTGAAGGGGGCTGGAAAGCGGAGATAGAGAAAGAGCATGTGGAGAAAGAACAGGGGAGAGGAACGGGCACAGGAAGAAAGAGCAGGGGGAAGGCTGCATGGAGGGAAGACGGGACTGGGGAGCACAGAAGAGGTCTGGCTACAGGCTCATACCTAAAGTACCGACTGGGAGCCACATTGAGGTAGAGGAAGTGGATCTTATTCCGGTATCTCTCCATATCCAGAATGCTCAACACCTCGCTACCAGAGAAGAAAGTCTCCGACGAGAAGCTACTACTTCTCTTTTGGAAGGGTTTCTCCCCAGAAACTTCATAGTCCAACTGAGGCCTGTATACAGAAGATCAGGAGACAAAAAGCAGAGGAAGAGGTCAGGTACCTAGAGGTGGGCCTTGCCACTGTCGGCCTGTGAAAGGAGGAGCCAGATCAGGTGTGGTATGACATTGTCAGGGTCTGCCTACTACCCCTGCTTGAGAAAAAGTACTGAGCAAAACTGCCTCTGTCCTGCAACACAGGTAACTATATTCATGCAGTGAGTGAACAACTTTTTCCTTTCTGACAAATGAATAATCATTCCGGGTTGACTGTGATGATTGTGAAGTCAGTATCACACAATACTATGCACAAATAAAAGGAAGAATTTATTTTCTCAACTCCTCATCCTGGCCTGGATCTCTCCTCTGTTAACCTGCCTAATCTAGATCTGATCTCCTCCTATCTGTGCTTCTGCTGTGTGTGGTTCCTGACCCTGCGTGATCTCCATCTTATTACAACTCATTGCTCTTGCTCCCATCATCATTCTTGCCCTTCTTTGCATTGTCACTCATACTTGAGCTTCAAAGTCTTTTCCTCTTCAGCCTCAATGTGGTGATGTGTCCTTCAATCCCCCGAAACTTTCTCACTTCTTAGCCGGGCTGAAAATATTTTTTTCTGGATTTTCATGTCTTCTGCCTTGTTGCCCAGAATTGTTTCTGATATTCTAGGTCTCTTCTGGTTCTTATGAATTTCATGATTGTGTTCTCTAAGTCTGTAAAGAATGCTCTTGGTACTTTGACTGGGATTGTGTTAAATCTGTATAACAGTTTTGGAAGTGTAGCCATTTTGGCTATACTGGTTCTGCTATCCAGGAAAGGGGATATCTTTTTATTTTCTCATATCCTCTTCTATCCCTCATTGATCTCATCTTCTTGCTGTTTACTATACTGGTCAACAAAATTGCTAAGAAAATCATCTAAGAACTCACTAATAATTTTGGTTGGGGTGATCTCATAGCATAAAACAAACACAAATACAATAAGAACCTAGAAATTATTTAACTTAGCTTTAAAGTATATTAATATCATTAGTTGACCCAAACTTTGATCAATAGAATGTCAGGCATTACAATCCAATCCTATTCTAGAGATTGTTTCATCAATATGGCTTATAACTGTGATATTGGGTCAGGATGTCTTAAATAGAATAAATGCTATTATTCATTTCCTCAGCAGTTCAAGCCTTATATGATACAGTAGATTCAGAAGCTCATAGACCCAAGAATACTGGCTCCTTCATAGAACTCTAGAATCCAGTCTTGATTATAGGCTCATTGTGTTTTGTTATCTTAGTACAAGTTCTCAAGCAGCCACCTTTCTTAGCTCCCTCCAACTGTGTACCTTAATTCTATGCCTGGTCCTGCCAAGCCCCTAATCCCGTCCTTCTTTGCCTGGAGAAACTGAGGTTTCCAGCCAGGAACTCAACTTTAGTTGCCTTGCCACAGATCTGTACGTCCCAAGTCAAGAGGCCTACGTGTTCTCTCTCCTCTACAAGGCTAGCTTACCTGTGCTTTCAGGGGAAACCTTCCCCTTTCTCTATGATATATTTTAAATTTTCTCTTCTTACCTTAGCCTCTTAATTTAGTCCACAAATATATATTAGGTATGTATTTCTCAAGGACTGTTTTAAGGGTTATACACATCTACTTTTAAAAAGAATCCTATCCACACACCAAACTTATTTCAACCTGCTGTCCTACTAGCTTTTCCTTTCAAGTCAAACTTCATGAAAGAATATGAAAGAATAGTAAAATGAGATACCTGCTTCCTTTTCCACTCATACTCTAGTTTCCTCCCACAAACTCCACTGAAACTGCTGGCACTGAACTTTTCCTTGTTGCTTAATGCTATAATTTCCAGATTCTTACTTGCCTTAGTAGCACTGAACATTACTGAGTGCTGCCTCTTAGCCTGCAAGATATTTTGCTAAACTAATCCAGCCTCACAGGGATGTGCTTTTCCCTACTGTCCTTTCTCCCTCCCTTCTTCCCTCACGCCCTCCCTTCCTCCCTTCACCCTCCCTCCCTCCCTCCCCAGAAGAGCACCCAGGAGACATGCTGTTCTTTTGTATTACAATGCTTCTTACAATTTGTAATTATATTTTATTAGTGTTAAGGTATCTATACCTATCTTAACTAAACTGTAATCCTCCATGGGAATGGCTTGAATCTGCCTTGTCTTGTATCCCCCAGCATCTAGCAGGTCTTATTCAATGAATGTCTGGGAAGCCAGGCCTGGAAAACTTAATGTAAATTAAACTTTATTAGCTAGACTGCAGAGGCTTACTGCCAGGTTCAAAGGGAAGAAGGAAAATTTGATCCCTTCCCAACATCTTATCTTACTGCCATGTTGGTTAACGTGTGTGTGTGTGTGTGTGTGTGTGTGTGTGTGTGTGGCAGGGGACACTTGCACTCAGGGCTCAGGGCAGCTCTTTGAAAAGGGAAAAGAGTTTGCTGGGACCATTAAAGGCATAAATTGCTGGCTACCTTCCAGGAGCCTGCCCAAAAACCCACCAATAGAGCTTTGAGAATTCAGGAAAAACTTGACCCAACCATAGACTTAAACCAAAAACTGAGGTAGAAAGGTCAACCTAACCTTTTCCCCAATACAGCGAATGTTTCATAGACAAACTACAAAACACCTAGAAAATCAAGCCAGAGGACAGGTAAAACTTCAAAGAGTAAAACTAAAGAACTTTCAAAAGAGGAGGTCTCTGTAGGCATTCTGAAATCCTAAAGAGCTCAGATAGCCAGAATTTAGGGGGAATCATTACTCCAGGGGTAAGAAGTTCCACACTGGGCAGGCAGGGTGAAAACCTTGAAAGGGGCAGGGTGAAATCCTGGCAGTAGTGCTGCCCACTGTACTCTGCCTTAGCACCTACATAGACCTGTGGTGGCCAGCACTCCTTAGTATTCTAAGGATCCAAGATGCCAAGCACCTAAGACCTAGCGTAAGACAGGCATAGACGTGAAGCTCAGTGACTATGAGTGAATGAGAAAAAGAACGAAGGAGGCTTCTGGTCATCTAAGAGAGAGAAGCCTGGAAACCGTGGAAAGCCAAGCAGTTTTTTGAAGCTTTGGTTTCCTGATAGCCGACTTTTGACTTCAATTTCTGTATCTCCCTATGGGGATTAACACTAGCTCTATTGAGCAGCCTCATACCAGCTCAGCTTGGGGGTCAGGCTAATCCTTAAGATCAATAGTGAGCTGGCTTTAGAGGGCCAGGGGCCCAGAGCCTCCCTAACCTGACTTCTTTTGTCTCCTCCGTGCAAAGCCCCAGCCTGGGTCACTCACTTACTTAGCGTCTTTGCTTCCAACAGGCTCCTCGTCTACGCTGTTAGCGTCGCTGCTTTTATACTGCACAGGGATGTCTGTAGCCAGTGCCAAGGGCAGGAGACTGAGACTGCCCAACCACTGGGCCTCTTCTAGGGCCACCTCCGCACCGACAATGCCCAGGCAGTGCTGCAGCTCAGGCAGTGTCAGCGGTCGCAGCCACGTGGCCAGTTCCTGCTTTACTTGCTGCCCACCCCACCGGGTCTGCACAAAAGGGCAGGGTGGGCACGGTGGCCCTCGATGGAACCTCTTCTTCTGGGGATGGCAGTCAGCATGGGAGGCACTGTGCGACAAAGAGCTGTCTGGGGGCAAGGCGTGGTCGATGGCATCTAGCAGGTCCAGCTGGAGATGGGTTTGGACCCAGGGAGCCCAGCAATACAGCTGCTCCAGGAAGGGCAGCAAATCAAGGTGCCCGACTAGCAACTCACGATACGGAGGCAGGAGACCCAGCACCGCATGCAGGTAGCGCCAAGCGGCCGGGCTGCGGTCCTGCAGCACAGCGGAGAACAGAGTTTGGAGCTCAGCTAGCAGTAGCTGCAGCGCCCTCGGCCGCTCTAAGTCAGGTGCTGCTGTGAGGACTTTCCTCTGTTTCGTCTGGAAGGGCCAAGGCCCAGGTCTTGAGCTGTCCAGGCTACATACAGAGTGCCAAGACTCAAGGGAATCCGATGATACTGCCTCGAGAGACAAACCTGCCCTCTTCTCCTCCAGGGCAGAGAGGAGCTGGACATTCAGCTGCTGTCGAAGCGATTTTGCCCACAGTTCAGGCTCCAACTGCCAGTTCCAGGCTCTCTGCTTTGGGGCTTCACCTGCGCGGCCCAGCCCTGGAGAGGGGCAGTAAAAGGGCGCTCAGGCTCTTGGCAGAGTCTGAGGTGGGGAGGAAAGCGAAGGGAGAGGACCGGAACCAGGGCATGGACGAAGCCGCAGAAGCAGACCGGCAGAGCGCCCTTGCCCACGCCCTCAGTACTTCCTGCTGCTTCCCCAAAGGCTGAGAAGCAGGCCCAGGTCAGAGCGGGGAGCCCTCCCTGCGCAGGAGGGAGCTCCTCCCCACCTCCCCGCCCCCTCACCTGGCCTAGGGGGTATGGGAGGCAAGGGACGCGAAGACAGCCAGCTCTGCGGATGACGTTTCATCTGGCAGCGCCTATTGGAAAAGTGGGCGCACTCAGTCTCGGGTCCCAGCCGGGCTCCCCCTAGTCACAGCCACCTACACACTGAGAGGCTGGCACAAAAGTGATCGCTTGACGAGGACAACAGAGGCGCCCACAGAGGCTCACCCGGAGAACCTCGGTCGCGGCGAGGAAGCTTCAGAGTGGGGGCTGGTGAGCGCCTGAGGGGGAGGAACGAGATTTCAGTCGAGGCAGCAAAGCCCCGGTCCCCCGACGTCCCAGCCCCCAGGCTGAGAAGCCCATGAGAACAGAAACCCCGAGTGGGCACCACGAACCGGTGGCCGGGACGCGATGGAACCTAGAGGGACAAGGGGCAAAGGAGCGGGCCGCAGGAGGAGGACGGAGGGGGCGCTCCGTGGTAGCCCGTGGGAGGGCGCCTTCCTGGGGGCAGGGGCAACGCCGGTGCCGGGGAACCAAAGGAAGCAGATCGTAGGCCGAGGCCGGCAGCTCCAGGGATCCCAGCTGTTAGAACGGTTGAGGGACCTGGAGGTCCCGAGCCTGGGCGCGGAGCCGCGGCCGCGGGGCAGGGGCGGGGGAGGGGTCGCGCGGGGCGGGGCCTGGAGGGGCGAGCCCAGCCTGCCCGGCAGGAAGAGGCCACAGCGCCCCATCGGGTCTGAAAAGAATGACACGCTCTGAGGCGATTAGAGCAGGTGCCAGCCGTGTGACTGTTTATCTGTTCCCTGGCTAAGCTGGTTCCAGGTGCCAACGAGGTTTGCCCTCGGGACTCCCCCCTACCCCCGGCCCCTGGAACACATCCGTTGCCCCCGCCTCCCAGAACGAAGCCCGAATATATGGTAAGACAAACTGCACCTCCGCCAGCTCCAACTCTAGATGGGGCTAGGTATCCAGGAATGGTTGATTTTTTAAAATCCAGCTGAGCCGGGTGTGGTGGCGCAGGTCTGTTATCCCAGTACTGGGGAAGCTGAGGTAGGAGGATCGCTGCAAGTTAGAGGCCAGCCTGGCCTTCATAAGCGGGACTCTGTCTCAAAAGAAAAAAAAAAATTCAGCTGAATGATGGAAGAAAAGAAGGGAAGAGGCGGGAAGAAAAAAGAAATCCAGCCTTACATGTACTCTGAAGTCCAGATTTGTGTGTCAAACTGCCTATTTATGTCACCACTTGGATAGCTGAAAAGTATCTCAAACTTTTAAACTTTTTTTTATACACCGTTGAGGGTGGCCTTAAACTCACACTGTAGCCCAGGCTGGTCTCCAACTTGCTAGATCCTTCTGTCTCAGCCTCCCAAGTGCTGAGATTACAGGCATGTGCCACTGGGCTGGGTTCAAAGTTTAAAACTTAAAATGTCCAAAACCAGACTCCTAACCCTGCTCTCCCCTAAAAGCAAGCAGCTCCTTGCATCACCTTGCCATCTGAACAGAACGAAAAGGCAGAGGAAGGATGAATTTGTTCTCGTTTTGAGCGCAGACATCTGTCTTCTGCCCGCAGACCCTGGAACCCTTGATTCTCATGGCTTTGGCCTTGAACTGAGTAACATTCCGGCTTTCCTGGTTCTCCAGCGTGTAGACAACAGACTGTGGGGCTTCTGAGCCTCACTAATATGCACGATTTCTGGGGCTGTGTAACACATTATTACAAGCTAAGCAGCTCAACAACGTGAGTAGAATTGTCACCAGTTCTATGGGTCCAGCATGACCCGGCTGGGTTCTCTGTGGTGAGTATGAAGAGAGTGCAGAAATCCGTGTCGACTGGGCTGCATCCTCATCTGCAAGCACTGAGGGAAAAAAACCCCACTTCCAAGCTCGTTCTTGTTGGCGGGTCTTAGCTCCTCGAAGTTTTAGGACTGAGGTCCCTTTTCCTTTCTTGGCTGTCCGCCATGAGTAGCTCTCGCATCCAGAGGTCCCCTGCAGTCCTTGCTCCATCTCGCAATCTTCCAGCCAGAAACCAAGCTCAAATCCTCCTCAGCATCACATTGTTCTCATGGCCTCTTCTGCAGCCAGCCAAGGAATGCTCCTGCCTTTAAATGGCTTCAGTCAGGCCCACTTGGGTAATATTTACTGTCAGCTGTGCCATAAAATGTGACATAATCACAAAAGTACAAAATGTCACTCAGTCCCAAGAGGTAAGTGCAGTGTATATACCAGGAGCAGGATATCTCAGAGAGTAAGATGCTGCTTCCCAGGATATGCTATAATAAAAAGACTCAATATGGCTTAACCATGATGGAAGTTTATTTTTCTCTGTCACGTAACTGTTCAAGTACCCCAGGGCTAACCTGCAGTGTTTTAGTTGTTCCACCTTCTCCAAAGTAATCCTTATCTTCAAAGTTCCACAGGGTTCACCACTAATTCTGCAGGGGCCCGCCCTGACTAGTGAGATGGGAGAAAAGAGAAGGCATACCGTTTTTGTTAAGGGCACAGTCTGGAAGCTTCGCACGTCACTCAATCACGTGGCCACACCTAGCTGTAACTAATGCTACCAGATCTAATTTCTATTGTTAGTCATTCTGTGCCCAGGTAAAATTCAGGGGTTCCATTAGTAAAGAAAGGCGGAAGTGGATACTGAGGATAACTAGTGGCTTACGCTACTAGTTGAACAGCAGAGCAGCGAACACTCTTTCTTCCATCTGTCCTGAAGGCTCACTCCCTCACTGCAAGTCCCTGCTCGAATGCCTCCTCATCAGTGGGTTCTTCCCTAGCCACCTGCAGACAATGGCAACACTGTTCTCAACATTTTTATGCCCTTTAACCTAAGTCATTTTTCCCATAGTACCAATTACCATTCTGTATAGACACGGATTTATTTGTTTACTGTATATTTGTCCTGACTAGAAATGTAAGCGCCATACCAGCAGCAGTTCTGTTCCCTGCTCTAGCGCCAGTCCCTAAGGTGAGGCACTGTGAGTAGGGGATCAGAAAATATTCATAGAGAAAAAAACATGAATGCATAACACTCTTCACGAGGGGGTGGGAAGACAGGCTTTGGGGTTAGACTGCCTGAGCTGAAATCTTGACTTCATCTTTTGAAAATGAAGACAATAGTGTCCACGGTTGATGATGATTATGAGGATTAAATGAATTAGTGTATTAGAATAGAACCTGGCAGATAACAGATATTGGATACAATTGATCTGTTTGGTTATTCATCTTAACATATTGGTGAACGAGACATAATAGAGTTCAGTAAGGGCGTGAATAAGGGCATAGACAGTCCTGCCTAGGAAGGGCAAGGAAGAGTCTCCAAGTCACATGAGGACATAGAGTTTAAGCTTTAAAACAACAGAAGCTTAAAACTAAAAACAAAGAACAACAGCTTTCTGGACAAGGACGCAAGGGAATGCTGTTCAGTAACCTCACACTGGCAAAAAACCTGTTTCCTTCGTCACTTCACTCTTTCATACTGTGCAAAGGATATTTCAAACCATCTGCACTCTCTCATCTCTCCTTTTCTTCTGCTTTAGTCTCACATGATGACCTCGCCTCCCATTAGGAAAAGAAAATGCTGGGTCTATCGGTTCTCTTGAGAAACAAGTTGTATGCACACTTGTAACTACATAGAGGGAGACTGATTTTCCAGAACTGGCTTACACGTACATGGGAGCTGGTGATTTTAAAATCTGCTGAACAGCCAGCGTGCTGGAAACTCAAGCAGAAGTTAATGCTGCAGTTTTGTTTCATTTTTTACAATTATATGTCTCTTTATGTACAGGCCTCCTTTTGCAGGCCCTACTGGAAAGAATCAAAGTGAAAAATGTCTAATAACTCCAGGATATTCCCAATGTTCCATCTGCTTTATTACATTAATACACATTAGTTATACAAATTAATGGGTTTCACTGCTACATTTCCATACATGCACAGATCAAGCTTTGATCATGTCTTCCCTTCCTTCTCCTCCCCGCCCCTATTTCCCCTTCCCACCTCCCCCCACCTTCTTTCCAGACCCTAACAGGCCCCTTTCTACTTTCAGGACATCTTTGTTGCTTTTGTCATTTAGCCTTCACATAAAAGAGAAAACATGATACTTGTCCCTGAGTCTGGGGACTGGAATGTAGCTCAGCGGTGGAGCGCTTGCTTTCCAGGTGCAAGGTTTTCGGTTCAACCCTCAGCACAAACACAAAATAGAACATCCTGAGTGCTTGTTTTTCCGAGTTTGGCTTATTTCATGTCTTCTAGTCCCATCCACTTTTCTGCAAAAGAGAGGACTTTATTCTTTTTATGGCTGAATGTTACTCCCTTGTGTGTACATACAGCATTTCTTTATCCAGTCATATCTGTTGATGGGTACTTAGGTTGATTCTATATCATAGCTAGAATAGTGCTACAATAAATATGGATATGCAGGTGTCTTTTTTATGCTGATTTCATTTCCTATAGATATATATCAAGGGTATATATATATATATATCCCTATAGATATATCTGTAGAGATATATCTATATGTAGAGATATCTATATATATCTCTATAGATATATCTCACAGGGTAGTTCTATTTTTAGTGTTTTGAGGGTCCTCCATACTGTTTTCCATAGAGCCATTTTAATTTACATTCCCACCAAAAGCGTATAAGGGTTCTTTTTTCTATACAACCTTACCAGCATTTGTAATTTTTTGGTTTTGTTTTTATAATAGCCATTCTAACTGGGATCACATGGAATCACCATATAATTTTATTTGTATTTCCCTGATAAATATATTGAGCATTTTTCATATACTTATTGGTCATGTACTTCCTTTATTATGAACTATGTATTCAGATCATTTCTCATTTATTGTGGCTTATTTGGGTCTTTTGGTCACTTTTTTTTAGTTCTTTACATATTCTCGATCTTAATTCTCTGTAAGATGAAGAGATGGCAAAGATTTTCTCTGACTGTAAGTTTTCTCTTCATTCTGTTGATTGTTCCCTTTGCAGTGCAGCTTTTTAATTTGAAGTACTCATTTTTGTCAATATTTCCTTTTCTCTCCCTGACTTTTGGAGTCCTATTTAGGAAATCACTGCATGTGCCGATATCTTGAAGTATTTCCTCCATGTTTTGTTCTAATAGATTGTTTCAGGTCTTGCCAGGTGTAGTGGTGCACACTTGTAATACCAGCGCTCAGGAGGGTGAGGCCAGAGGACTGCTGTGAGTTCAAGGCCAGTCTGAATTACAGAGACCATATCTCACACACACAGATCCAAAGTTTCAAGTCTTCCATTAAGGTCTTTGATCCATTTTCAGTTGATTTTTGTAGAGTGAGACACAGGGCTTAGCCTTCTGCATGCAAATACCCAGTTTTCCTAGCACCAATTGTTAAAGAGGCTGTCCTCTCTCCAATGGATGTTTTTGGCTTCTTTGTTGAGACTCACTTGGCTGAGATATACGAATTTATTTCTGGGTCTTCTATTCTTTCCATCATTTATGGCTCTGTTTTTATGCCAGTACAATGCTGTTTTTGTTACTATAGCTCTAAAGTATGTTTTGAAATCAGGTATTGTGGTGACTCCAGCATTACTCTTTTTGCCCAGGATTGCTTTGGCTATTCTGAGTCTTTTGTGTCTTCAAATGAACCTTAGGATTATTTTTTCCAGTTCTGTGAAAATTTCACGGATATTTTGATGAGGGCTGCACTAAATCTGTATTTTGTGCAGCATGCCCACTTTAACAATATTAATTCTCCTAATCCTTGAACATGGGAAGTCTTTCCACTTTTTAGTGTTTTTCCTGTTTTCTTGGTACTGGGGGTTGAACCCAGGGACTTTGCACTGAGTTACTTCCCCAGCACTTTATTTTTTATTTTGAGACAAGGTCTCTTGCTGTAAGTTACTAAGTTTCCCAGACTGGGCTCCAATTTACAATCCCCCT